CTTTTCTTCCAGACCTGGAAAGACATTTTGACGGATTCCTGGATACTCCAAACGGTTCGGGGTTACGACATCGAACAACCCCCATGCAACTACATCCACCGCAATCCCTTCGGGTGTCCGCAGCTCATCAGCTCATCATAGACGAGAGATACAGTCACTTTTCGCCAAAGGAGCGATCCAACGGGCTCCCAGCGACAGCGCCTTTATCAGCAACATCTTCCTGGTGCAGAAAAAGATGGGCAAATTTCGACTGGTCATCAACCAGTTGAATACCTTCGTTGTCTACCGGCACTTCAAAATGGAAGTCATCCACCTGTTACGAGCTCTCCTTTTGAAGGACAACTGGTTCACATGATTAGACCTAAAGGACGCCTACCTGTCGGTCCCAATCGCACCACACTGCCGAAGATTTCTAAATTACCACTGGAGAAATGCCACCTACCATTTCACCTGTCTACCATTTGGCCTGAGCTTGGCTCCCTGGTTACATACATAGTTACATAGTTACATAGCTGAATAGAGACTTGCGTCCATCAAGTTCAGCCTTCCTCACATTTGTTTTTTGCTGTTGATCCAAAAGAAGGCAAAAAACACAGTTTGAAGCACAATTTTGCAACAAGCTAGGAAAAAAATTCCTTCTTGACCCCAGAATGGCAGTCAGATTGGATCCTTGGATCAAGCAGTTATTACCCTACATTGAAAGATTATATCCTTGAATATTCTGTTTTTGCAAGTATGCATCTAGTAACTGTTTGAACATCTGTTTGGACTCTGATAAAACCACTTCTTCAGGCAGAGAATTCCACAGCCTTATTGTTCTTACAGTAAAAAAAAACTTTCCTTTGCCTTAGACAAAATCTTCTTTCTTCCAGTCTAAACGCATGACCGCGTGTCCTATGTAAAGTCCGGTTTGTGAATAGATTTCCACACAATGGTTTGTATTGGCCCCGAATATATTTGTATAATGTTATCATATCCCCTCTCAGGCGACGTTTTTCTAAACTAAATAGGTTTAAATTTGTTAACCTTTCTTCATAGCTGATATGTTCCATTCCTTTTATTAATTTTGTAGCCCGCCTCTGCACTTTTTCTAGTGCCATAATATCCTTCTTTAGAACAGGTGTCCAAAATTGCACAGCATATTCAATATGTGGTCTTACCAGTGATTTATAAAGAGGCAAAATGATATTCTCGTCCCGAGAATGAATGCCCTTTTTCATGCATGACAATACCTTACTGGCCTTGGCTACTGCTGATTGACATTGCACATTGTTGCATAGTTTGTTGTCTATAACAATTCCCAAGTCCTTTTCATGTGTTGTTATCCCTAATTCGCTTCCATTAAGGGTATACATTGCTTGTGTATTCTTTACGCCGAAGTGCATAACTTTGCATTTTTCAACATTAAATTTAATCTGCCATTTCAGTGCCCAGTACCCAGTCTACCTAAATCCCTCTGCAGCAAAGTAATATCTTGCTCACATTGTATTATTTTACAGATTTTTGTGTCATCTGCAAACACTGAAACATAACTTTCAATGCTGTTTTCAAGATCATTTATGAAAATGTTAAATAGAAGGCGTCCCAGAACAGACCCCTGAGGGATGCCACTTGCCACCTCTGTCCAGCTTGAAAATTTACCATTAATGACAACTCGTTGTACTCTGTTTTTTAAGCCAAGAACAAGCATTTTTATCTAGACCGATTTCCTTGAGTTTGAACACTAATCTATTGTGTGGAACTGTATCAAATGCCTTGGCAAAATCCATATAGATCACATCCACTGCAACACCCTGATCTATACTTCTACTTACTTCTTCGTAGAACACAATCAAGTTAGTTTGACATGACCTGTGCGTCATAAAACTGTGCCGATTTTTGCTGATAACCATGTTCTTCTCAAGGAATTCTTGAATATTATCCCTTAATAACCTTTCAAATATTTTCCTAGCCACAGAAGCTAAGCTCACAGGTCTATAATTTCCAGGCAAAGATTTTGAACCCACAAAACTACTGAAACCTGTCCTTACGCGCATACGGTCTCTGGGAATCCGGTGTCTGATCTACCTAGACGACTTGCTGATCTTCTGCGACTCGGCCTCACTACTGGTCTCTCAGACGAGATTTATCGTGGACTTTATCGAATCGTTGAGATTCATAGTAAACAGGGAAAAATCGGCTCTCAAACCGGCTCGAGTTGTACAGTTCCTGGGATTCTAGATCGACTCCACAATAGGCCTTCTATGCCTACCCCTGTCGAAAATTGCATCGATCCGGAAGGAAATTTGGAAAGTCCTACGATTGGATCTCAACTCTTTACGACTCCTGGCACGTCTGGTGGGCCTTCTACCTGCCTCCATACAGGCGATATATCTGGCCCACTCCACTACAGAGCCATGCAAAGACACAAGGCCCGTTTCTTACGGGCAGGCTGCTCCTACAACCAACTAATACCGATCACGACAGAGGTTTCACCTTCATATGCAGGCTTGGAATGGGAAAGCCATCTTCGGGCTTTCTCCAGACTTCGTAGCGGAATCGGACGCCAGCCTTTGGGGCTGCGGAGCACACTGCACAGAATCCTCCACCGGGGGCCCATGTTTTCACGAGGAGGCGGAAATGCACGTCAACTGCTTGGAACTGATAGCAGGCTCCTTTGCCATTCCGCAGCCTGGCCAAACACATGTCGAACTGTTGTATACTGCTACACATGGACAATATTTCGGCAGTGCAGTACATCAATCGCCTAGATGGGGCACGATCTCAGGCACTCCCACAAGCGACCAAAGACATTTGCACCTTCTGCCTCTCCAGGAACATCACGCTGACATCGGAATATCTCCCAGGCATCTCCAACCTCACGGCAGATTGGTACTCCCGCCACTGGAGGGACCGCAGCGACTGGCAAATGGATGTTCAAGACCCTCAATCACCTCAGAGGTCCCATACAGATAGACCTCTTTGCCTCCCGGACGAACCATCAACTGATTTGTTAAATTTTCTATCAGCCATCCGATAGGACAGGACCCGCTGATTTCTTCAGTTGGCTCCCAGCCCCGTAAGCGAGGCAGTGGACGCTTTTCTCTAACCATGGCCGACTCAAGGGGCCTATGCCTTTCCACCATTCTCCATGCTGGCGAGGGTACTACACAAAATCCGGACACACCAAACATCCCTGTTACTGATCACAACCCTCTGGCTGGGCCAAGCTTGGTTCCCGGACCTTCAGTAACTCTCGTACGACCACCCGCTGAGGTTACCGAATTTCCCACTCCTGTTGTCCAACCCGCAAGGGGAACCGCACGCGCTCATCCTTCAAGACCGACTTCATCTCGTGGCCTGGATGATTTCAGGGGATCTTGGGATGTGACTGGACTTTCGCAGTCAACTAAGGACCTCCTCTGGGACTCATGGTCTCCGGGTACTAGACATTGCTACCTAGCAGCCTGGAATGAATGGTCTAGCTGGTGTCTGGAGAGGGACTCCGATCCCTTCACAGCCACTGTTCCCGTTGTGTTAAATTTTCTATCAGCCATCCGATAGGACAGGACCCGCTGATTTGTCAGCTTATGAGAGGTATGCCACTTTCCCGTCCTCCTGGTCCGAAATACTCATGCCTTTGGGACGTCGAATTGGTATTACATTTTCTACGAAATTGGCCAGACAACTCGATGTTGTCCCTACTTTCGACAAAGCTTACTCTTCTAGTATGCCTGGTCTCTTTCCGAAGGATTTTGGATGTTAGGGCCTTCGACATGGACGGTCTTTCCTTCTCCCCAGAAGGAGTCTTTTTCGGTTTCGCGTCGCACGAAAACTTATTCGTCTTTTTTATACGTTTTTCCAGACTTCACCCCGACTTTGCATGGTTAAGACTGTTCTCAGATATGTGGAGGTTACGGACCCTTTCCGGAGTTCCTCCTCGGGACAACTACTCATTTCCTATGTCGTACTGCACGCGCCAGTTTCAACTACGACCCTCGCTAGATGGGTTTGATGGTTGCGGATGTCGAAACGACATTTAAGACGCATTCCGTATGCGGGGCGGTGGCCACGCACGCTTTTTCATCAGGTGCTTCACTGGCGGATATTATGCGCTCGGCTGACTGGTCTCGCGAGGAGACTTTTCGTATCTTCTATTTCTGTCCTGCTTCTCATGCTTCTTTCGCCCTTCTCTCACAGCGTTAAAAATGCAAATATGAAGCCTCCTGTTGTGATAAAATTGTAGATTATGCTAACGTAGTGTACCTATAATCTTAATTTTAGTAATGACAGGAGGTGAATATTTCCCACCCTTCCTCTCCCTGGCAGGCTTCTCTGTCCTCTCTACCTATTTCCCACTGTTGCTTACGCATTCTTTCTTACTTTATTATGGTGACATCATTTTACAAATTTAACATGAATGTCTAGAGATATTGTCACTAGGGTACTGATGAAATATGGCCATTTCGCTACCTTTCACCTTTTTCTTCTTTTTTGTAGTTTGAATGCTGGCACCATACGGTGGATTTCATCTTCACACCTTGGTCGTTTCAAGCAAAGTTTGGATTACATAGGATCCACATCGTTATCTGAGTTATGATTTTCAGACTTTTTCACTGCACTGTTCGTTCGCTACAAAGAAAGAGGAAGTGGAAGTGCATCACAGAGCAATTAATAGCAGTGACTCTTGTTTTCTGATTGGTTTAATAGTTTTGATTGATCTGTGCTGCTGGAGTTTTAGTAAAGAAAGATTATGCAATCCTCCTGTCATTACTAAAATTAAGATTATAGGTACACTACGTTAGCATAATCTACCATTTTTGCCCTCTTTATTACAGGCCTACCACATACGCCTGTTTCGGCACACTTCAACATTCAACACTTGTTCATCTATAATTTACATCAAACTATACATACCTTTACGTTACAAGAATAGCACTGAACACAAATATATATATTACACACACACACACATATATATATATACACACACACACGCTGGGCCTTCCCCCCTTCCCTACATTACTGTGATTGGTTCCAGATGTACTGCTGGGGTTATTGGTCGAGATGTACTGCTGCTTGATTCCAGACTCAGACTGCTGGGGACTCTTACTGCTGATCTGCCGGCTACCTGAGAACAGGATCACAGACTTCCTCAGGATCTCCACTGGTCGGAACTCAGGCTGTCTGCCTAGCCGCTGCAGGATAACCAGCTTTTCCCACGCTAAACAGTGAGTACAGACGGGTACAGTGGTACACCGTCTGTATCGCAAATAAGAGGCACACAACCTGCCGGGATCTCCAGCATAACTCTCTGTATCCCCCCCCCCCCACCTCCAACAGTACACCAGGGTCACGGAGGGTAGCCACATACCGGCCGCATTTCCCCAGGGGCAGGCCACAGCCGGCACGGTAGTTACTAACGGGGTCGAAGTTCGGCCAGCAGCCACTCTTTGTCGGGTACGCTCCCTCCACAGCCGACGATGGTCTATTTCTGGCCGTCAAACACTGCCACAGCACATACTCTGCCTGCCTCATTAGCAAATGGCAGAGGGGTGGGAAAGCACAAAGGCAGTACAAAGCTCATCACCCTCACATGAGGCCACATAAAGTGAGTGATACTAACCCTGGCAGGGAGGAACAAAACAGTTCCACATAAGTTATGTTACTAATAATTGCTTATGTTATGTGCACATAAGGGGGAATATAGTTAACATTTGCTGTGATATTATCAATGATATTCATAGAGGGTTTTGTCCCTCTGTTTCATGTTGTATTGCGGTATCCTTTAAAGCTATATGGTTCAACTCTGCTTTTTCAAACAAGTCCAGATATTTTACACCTGATAATCAGGTTACAGTGCAGCACAACGCCACCTTGTGGCTTTGTTACACATAGCCTCAATAAGCAATCATTGTATCTATCATTGTATCTATCTGTTAGAATTCCATTGCCATAGCTTAAAGGTACACTCCAGGCAACCAGACCACTTCTGCGGTGTTCGATGGTTATTTCATGGAACTGAAAACGGACACTTTTTCAACCGAACACCGCTGAAGCTGTCGACCTCCCCTTCTCAATCGACAAAAGCATACGAATGCCGGCCATTCGGGAGATTCAACAACACGAATGGACGTAACCCAAATAGCCTTCCCATGGAGTCAATCGCATACCGAAGAACTGTAATAAACTTTGACTCCATGGCGATTGAACTATGCGAATGGGATCTGAGCGCTATTCGCCAATAATATGCACTCAGATCCAGGCTATCTGGGGATGTGTTACACAAATGCAATATGTTCGGCAATTAGAAAGTTATATATTTTAATGTGTTTTATAACTTTGAGTTAAAATGGCGATTTGCCTCTGCTCGGGGAGATAATTGAATTACTTCCCAATTATCTCCCGAGCAGAGTGGAGGGAACTGTGATGCATGCTGGGAATATTGTGGGGTTGTATGTCTGAAATGTTCCCATGTCCTTCTGTCATTTCAGTCTCCCATTTGGTCCCCTAGGGGAGTGTCCACGAAGTGGGAGACCTGCATAAATACCGGGCAGGTAGCCCACAGTAAATCAGTTCGTGTTTTACCCTCAAAGCGGAGCTTGGTCTCGTTATTGGGGGGATTTTATTACCGGCACCTAGAGACTGCTTATTGGAATTATTTGCCGCTTGGAAGATATTGGCGTTCGGCTAATATTGTCAGTTCGTGGATTTGGAGTTCGTGAAGGGAAAGAGCCGTACAGGTACCGTTCGGGAGTTTGGAGTGTTCCCTAGCTGGCGGTTCGCATGGTTATATTGTACACGCTACCAGACCACATTATTGCGAACCGTGAGCATTCACTAAACGACGCTTTGCACATTTATTACTGGAGGTACCGTAACACGCCCTATATAGGTGAGGCCACATGTGCATTTTATCATGTAAATAACATGTTTTGTATAACACGTGATAATTTCTCTGATTTTACATTTTTTATTTTTGTCCTGAAGGTGTTGGAAATCTTTTATGTGACATTTAGAGCTATTTGTGTTTTTACAAGCACCACAGATTCCACATCCATAAAAACCGGTGCTTTCCTTAAACGGATTTTTATTGATGGTAGACTTCAATGAAGAGTAATTTTGAGTCAAATTACGTTTCAAATTAGGGACCCCCCTATAGACAATTTTTGGTCTATCTGGAAGGATTTGTTTCAAAACCTCATCACTTTTCAAAATAGACCAATGTTTTGTCAGAATTTTCTTAAGTTGATTGCTTTGACAGTTAAAATCACCTATAAAAGGGACATTATCCCAATTTGTGTTTAATGATTTGTTTTTATATTGGATTAGTGATTCTCTATCCTATAGGCTGACTTCATTAATAGCTTTTGTCAGAAGTGAATCATCATAGCCTTTATCGCTGAAGTCTCCAATAATTTTTATGCTTGTTCATGGAATTTGTCTTTATCCGTGCAATTTCTTTTAATCCTCATAAGTTGAGATTTTGGGGCATTCAATAGCCATGGAGAATAGTGGCAGCTATTACCTTGAATATAGCTGTTCACATCTATATTTTTTTTAAAAGTGCTCGTTTTGATAACATTTTCTTATATATATATATATATATATATATATATATATATATATATATATATATATATGTTAAGATCTAAGAAACTAACACTGACTTTACTATAAGTGCTAGTCAACTTAATGCCCTAATTATTGTTGTTTAGGTGTTCCAAAAATAATTGGAGTGATGACTCATCTCCATTCCAGATAAAGAAAATGTCATCAATGTAGCGGCGATAGGCTACCAGATTCGCACTCGATTCTGGGAACCCGAAAATATGTAACTGTTCCCATCGAGACATAAATAAGTTAGCATAACTGGGTGCGAATCTGTTGCCCATCGCCGTACCACATAATTGTAGAAAAAATTGATCTTCATGCCAAAAATAGTTATTGGTTAGTATCCAAAGAATCCCTTCCATAATAAAATCAATTTGTACGGGAGGAAATGTATCTGATGCTTCTAGAAAGTGTCTCGTTGCTTCACAGCCTTTGTCATGCGAGATAATTGTTGTGACGAAGTGCCCTTCGCCACTTGTGCCTGGAGAGGACTGCTTGCCCGCCTCTTGCCCTGTGACTATGGCCCCTGGGATGTATTGCCCTTTAAAGACATGATTTGGGCATAATGGATTTGTGTTGTGCTGCTGCTGGCCCTTTAAGAACCATCTGGGGACATACTCTGGAGTTACTGGGTGGCCACCATTTCCTGTATCAGAAGCACATGGTGAGAACAATGGATGGCGGCCATTTTAACTCACAGACACTGTTTGGACTTTTCAACACGGTGCCATCTCGCCAGTATTTGGTGCACAGAGACATTGTGCAGTGGTTTTGGACTATACAGCAGGGGACACATTATACAGTAATTGTTTTTCATTTAGCCTTTATTTGTTCTGCAGAATCTGCATTAAACTGTATTTTCCAAAGTACTGAACGGATCTGGGTGAATTTTGGATATGGGGTTCACCCAGATCCCCCGGTTCCAAGGATATACTTTTTATGGGGTTATTGCATATTTTGGGGTCCCTGTGTGGTTTATGAAACTGTATTATTTCTGGCCAGCAGATAATTGAGCTTTGTGTATTGTAGAAACTCAATTATCTAGCCTGGCCCAGAGGAGGAGTTTTGTGTTGCATAAATTGTGAGTTCTGTGTGCCAGTAAATCAGTCTTGTTCCAGCATTAAGCCTTGGCTCATGTTTGGGGGATTGGAGAAATACACTCGGGGGATTGGAGAAATACACTCTGGGGATTGCTATAATCACTATACTCCCCAGGGTATGATCACTAAGTTCTGCTAAGAGCTTGTTCCTGTTCCTGCTCTCTGGGGAAAGAGAGGTTCACCCACTGGAAGCTGGATCCTGGCCTTGGGTCCAGGGTGGGTGGAGACAGCAGAGACCCCGGTGCAGTTGCATCGCTGGAAGTGGGGTCTGCAGTGCTGATGGTGTCGGTTGGAGTGCTTGCTGGATCCTCTCATCTGCACGGCTGGCTATCAAGTAAGTTATATTTCAGAAAGAAGAGACTCTGGTCTGCGAAGTTTCAGCTGCCAGACGCCCAACATACCAGCGCCAAAACTTCCATCTCTCTACTCCATTTATAAAATATAATTTGGAATATTTCAGTTATGAGGAAGTGAAATTACAACCAAGCATATTTTTTTAAATTAAACTCCAGGGACATGTATACCTTTCTTGAAGAAATAGTCAGTCCTCAATACTAGAGAACCAATCTGTTTTTTCCACAATTGCTCTGTAATAGGATTAAATATATACATACAGTATGAACAGTCCTGGTACAAGATTTTTTATTTTTTGGACCCCCACCAGCCCAAGAGTACCCAAACGTAGATCCCCATCTAACGTAAAACTACCATGATGGTATTCCAGTTGGAGATTTACCATTTGCCCATCCTTGCAGAGATATATTTGTGAGCAGCATTTGTTTCTGAATGTAATTATGGCTCTGTATTGAGTATGTGTGTGCATGTAGGGGTGTATTTGTATGTACTATTGCCATTGGACTACAGTGGTGTACTTGTGTGCAGTGCTTGCATTAATGTTGGATTGTGAATGCAGGTGTGCTTTTGTGTATAGTGCTGGTGTTTGAATGTAGGGGTGTGTTTGCATGTTGTGTTGGTGTTTAATTGCTGGGATGTATGCACATACACAGCCACTTGCACATTAACATTCAGATACAAACTGACTCACACATGGATACATACATTGAAACATACACATGCACACTCAGATACACACACTCAGGGCCGGACTGGGAGAAAAATTTGGCCCCACTAAGAAGAGGGCGAGGCAGAGAGGGTGTGTTTCATCATCACCAATGACAAACACGCCCCCTTTCAAAGTGAGCATGTTGGTTCAATGCTCTTCCAGGGCAGACCATGCGCAGAACTCTGCTAAAGAGCTCTAGCATGAGAAAAAAAGCCCTGTATTTGTTCTGCACAGTGCAAGCAAATTTAATAACATGCTTGCACTGTGTTTCCTTGCAACTTGTCTCTGGATACCAGGAGACAAAAGGGCCTGGAAAGAGTATTGTGCATGTGTTTGGAGCCTGCTTGTGGGATTGCGTGTGTATAGAGTAAGCTGATTGTGGTGTGGTATTGTGTAATAAGGTCGGTTTTAGTCGTGTTTTTGGTGTAATGTAATGCATATGTGGCTAGGGGCTGTAGAGAATGTGTGTATAGGGGATGTAGTAA